CATATTCTGGAAATGGCGTGCATTGTGACAGATTCAGATCTTAACATCATTGCAGAGGTAGGTATTGATTAAAGTTGTGTCACATTCTACTTGCATTAATTTTTTAATCTTTTGAGTTAATTGGTAGTGCATGATCTTAAGCATATTTCTAAATCCCAACATATAAAAGAAACATGAATCGGCATTGAATATGAAGTCTTGAATTTCTTTATTTTTCTGGTGTAGTATTAAATAAAAAAAGAGAGTACATTTAATACAAGTAAATTATTATGTGTCCAGTGGCATCTACCAGTAATTTGCTCAAAAGTTGTCACCAGATAAATCAAGTTTCATCTTTTTTTATGTTAAACTGTTTTAGTCCATCTGTCTGTCCCTCTGTAAACTTTAACAAATTTTGACTTCTACTCAAGAACCACAGAGCCATTTTCAAACAAACTTCCTACAAAGCATCTTTTATTTAAAAAAAAAAATAATAAAAGCAGTAATAAAAAAAATTGCATATGGAGACTTTAAACAGCTATAATGATTCAGGCTAGCATTGTGGTCCATAGAACTCTTGATAAATCATGTATCTTGCTACTAATACATGCACTAATCATTGAAGTAAATTTTTTTAGAGTCCAGATATCATTATTCACCAGCCAGACACAGTACTGAATAACATGGGAGAATGGTGTACCAAACAGCATGGAGAAGTGAGTGGTGTTCATATATCTTAAATGATACTTTAATCATTCACAAATCATTTAGCTGTCTACTGCCATAATAAATACTTATTTTACGAACTTCTTAATAATTATATTAAGTGCAGCACACATCTATGAATCTAATACACATATCAGTATCACAAGATGCATTTTATTGTCAAGTTGCAGTTTCTTCATTTATTAAAAGTTGGAGTTGGTTTGAATATTTAAAAATGTTTTAATAGAAAAATAATGAGTGTTTTTAAATTATTATATTATGTTGAACAGAAAATACTTCTTTCTTGTTAGAAAATGTTGGCAAAGTTCTTGAATATTAACCCCAGTTTTGTGTTTGTTAGTCAGGTCTGACAGAATCTGTGAGAAACAGTAAGATAGATCTGAAGTCAGCAGAAAACACTATGGTAGAGTTCATCAAACCCCACATTGTCCCTTCATCCTGCCCCCTGGCTGGTAACAGTGTCCACTGTGATAAAGAGTTTCTACAGAAGTACATGCCAGTCTTCATGAAACAGCTTCACTATAGAATCATAGATGTCAGCACTATCAAAGAACTCTGCAGGTATATTTGATTTGAACATATTTTTTATACATGTATAAATAATATACAGATGGTTTGAACTCCTAGCAACATAGGAGGTTCTCAACATAAATATTAGGAATTTTATGGGCTGTATTGTATAAGCAATTTAATGCCATGGTCTACATGTATAGTGCTAAAAGAACTAAAGAAATACATATTTAGTATTTCGTAGTTTCTATTTTCTTCAAATGATATCTTCACAAGAGGACAGCATTCAATACTAAAGGTCTGATACATGCATGTGACATTATCTCTTTCAGGAGATGGTACCCAGGAGAATTAGAAGGTGCTCCAAAGAAGAAATTAACACACAGGTAAAGAATTTTATGTATGTTCTAAATTGAATGAAAAGTAATGGATGGGGAGGGGAGAGGGAATATTATTGCCCTCAGTTTGTCCATGTGCTTCTCAGCTGAATTTACAAGTTTTGAAATTCTTGCACTTCATAGTCCTAGGAAAAGCCAGTCCTTTTTTGTGGGGTAGGGGGATAAATCAATCTTATCAAATGTTAAAGGTCATAGGAAACGATTCCTAACACTATAATTTCACTTTTTAAACCCAAAGATAAATATGAAAGAATGTTAAATTACGAGTTGTTATATTTTCTAGCCTTTGTTCTGCTGTGAAATAAAGATAAAAAATATTCCAGTTGTTACTTTTCTTACCAGCTTATCGTTCTTGATTTCGTGGTTTTATGACGTCACAAATCCCACTGACGCAAACAGATCATTGGACATAATGTAAATCTACTCTATTTTATCAAGTTAATTATATTTAATTTTTGTGAATATAAACGCATGTCTGTGTTCAGATGAGTTTAATGATTTCGTAGTTCCTTCATTTCAGTTTGAACAAGTCGTTAATAAATAACGACAACTGAAAACTTGGCTTTTCTTCGGAAGATGATCCTGATGAATATCCTATAACAATTACCCCTTTACCCTCCAAATAAGATTACTTACTCTATATAAATCAAAACCTCAGAAACAAATTAATACCATTTTCCATATTTAATACAAAATCAAGAGGATTTCGTCTTTTGAAGAAAAAATATTAAATGTCAGGCCTTTTTTAAATCCAGGAAAATTGCGAAATGCAACAAAAAATAGTATAATGTATTAAGATTAACTTATATCAACTTACAATAGAAATTTGATTGGGCCTATAGAAATATAAAGGAAATTTTAACAAGTACATTGTATATAGGGAATATCCCTCATGTATACTCCAAAAATAAATACGGGGACCAGTGGTATTGAAGTCCATGATATGAATTCTCTGATCTGAAAGACACGTATTGCTGCAATATCGATATAGCAGTGGAATCCCTGAGTATATGACAACATGATAGTATTCTCAGAACAGAAAGAAAATACAGTATTACGAGTACTAATAAGGAGAAATTAATTTTAAGCTCAAAGCAAATGAGATTCTTACAATACAGTCACATTGACTGCTCTTTGATATAAGACTGTCAAAATACTTGTAAATATACAGTGTATGCAGTATTTTTTAAACTTTACTGAATTGAAAAAAAAAAAGATATCTCATATATTCTTTAAATCCTTATTTTCATACATCTCATAGATTTATTTTTACTTGTGAAGTCATCCCTATTTCTTTATTTTATTTTTCTTCGTAGGCTTTTTGTTTGTTTGTTTGTTTGAAAGTCGTTTGTACTAACTAACACATAATATACAAGTTTAAGTTGTTTAGTTTTTGTCCTAGTTGTTAAAAACCATCTGGGAAAATGTTAAATTTCGAGAATTTTCTTTTACAAAAAGTATGGAAAATCGAAAATCCCGGGGGGGGGGGGGGGGGGTGCGGAGCGAGAGAAGGGAGGTGTGGTATAGAGTGTTGTACATGAATAAGTGAATATAAATAAATGCTGTCAAATAATTAGAATTGAATTAATTAAATAAAACATTAATATAATAAAAATTTCATGTTCAACTTCCCATTAAAAAAAAACAAAACATAAAAGCTATAGGCCCTACCTACTGTATCATATAGATAGCATTCACTAGGTCTATATTGTCCAGAAAAATTGAATCATTGACCACGTTGGACTCTTGATGATAAAAAAATGTAAATAAATGCCCTACATATAAAAGTGAATTAATATTCACTCTCCCATCTTTCTATCTTTCGATCACTTTTGTCCTTTCTCTCAATCGGTTGAAGTGTCAAAGGATGAAAATAATCACTGACTCTTAAACCATACTAAAAATCTTGCAGATATGCGAAGAAATTTATGAAAAAGAAATACCATCCTGTTTGAAGATCGTATGATTATACAAGGTTTCAGTCATGATGTTGATATTTCTTAAAATTAAGCTGCAAAATAACATGACAGTTTGTAAACATTGCATAGCCTTGAACAGCGACTGGGCCTTTCTGACGTCATAGGCTAAGGGAGATAAGCATCGTGAGTAAAAGCTCATTTTCCTGAATGAGTAATTTTGATCTACTGTGTTGTCGCTATCTTGCATTAAAAAGCTAAATAACATTTTCTGTCTCATATTATCAGCCCAGATCAAGTTATTCCCATATGTAACTCAATATGTTCAGGTATTAGTCTCTTATGACCTTTAATATAGTGAGAATTGTGAACTGAAGTAAGAATTTTTATTAACAAGGATATTTTGAGTTTCAAAGATACTTCTCATGTCTAAAGCACATAGAATGAAACATTTTTAGCATTATAAATATTGTAAATGAAATCACTAAGTATCTCATCAATCACTTCTTGGATTTTTGTTTTTCAGAGCCTTAGATGATATCAGGGAAAGCATAGAGGAACTAAAATATTACAGAAAAAGTGTATTCAAATAAATCATTCTTACTTTCATTTCTATTTGTTTTTTCTTCTTGGAAAAACAGAATGTCATTTCAGATCCAACATTTTAATCAACTTTAAGAGTCACCTGGAGAGCAATTAATATTACAAAAAAGTTTACTCATCTATTAAACAAAAATAAAAAGATCTACTTTTTACAGTTTACTTGTACATATACCACCCCCTGACTTTAACTTTACATGAAATAAGTTCTGAGGGAGGTCAATATCCCATCTGCCATTTGCCAGTAACTCCACCGCAAGTCTTCCTATCTCATCACTGGACTTGGCTGCATATCCATTTCCTCCAATGGCTACCCCTAGCTGGCTGTGGATTAGGTCTATGTAGGGTCTGTTGCTAGGGGCAACATCCACCACACAACTGTCACCATGGAAAGAGAGTACTTTAACAACTGTAATAAATCAAAGTGTTAATATTCAGTTATTATTATTATTATTTTTTATAAAATATGAATTATTTCTCTCATTTTATTTAATATGCAAGACCATGATCTACATATCAATAAATTCTAAATTGAGGCCAGATATTGACAAAGAAGTTGATGAAACAAGAAAATTTAAAACAGTCTCACTTGAAGTCATCATTTCACATGTTCTAAAGTTAACACAATGACCTTGTCATTGTCACGAGTGAAAAATTCTTTTAAAAAAGTCAACAAACATTTTGTTTTTGTTGGAATATTTCGAAAATAATTATAGGCCCAAGGTCCTTATAAGTCACCTGAGTATAATGAAACACTATAAAAGATTCATAGATTGAATTTATAATAAAACAAAATAGGCTGATAAATGAAGCTACATTACCTAAAAAACAAAAGAAAAAAGGCTCAGAGGTCAACAAAATAATTCAGAAAAAGTCTTAGAGTTTATCATTTTATTCGCCTGTTCTTGTCCTCATTTATTGCTATCCCCAAGTGGAATAAACAAAATAAGAGTTTTTGGGCAGTGTTAGTAAATCTATCTCAATCTCTGCTAAATGACTACATAACCTTGTATCAAGATCTCAGTGTTGAGTTTAGTTATAAACAGGAATCAATCGTTTTGTTGAGTATAAAGTCATTACCTTTTGTGGCTCAAAGATTTGAGGAACTTTATCACCTTGACCTATTTAATGTGATCTTAGGTCAGGGTCATGAGATGCACTTGTGTTAGCACACAAAGAAGCTATGTATAACATACTGTTTTTCACCAATTAAAAATGTCCAATACCAATGGTCACGCCAAATGAAAATTGCTTATCAGTGAAAGACAATAATGCCAGATGAAAAAAGACTTGTAAAACTCGCTATTATTGTGCGTTATTGAAAAAAATGTTTACCGACAAATGGCAGAAAGATATTAAATGTTTAAGTTAAAAGATTTTATGTACTACATAATCAAATTCATGGTTTTCGTTTATTACAGTATATAAATATATTTTTTATTCTATTTCTGTCGTTAAAGGTGTCCCAATTGTCGGACAAACTGTCAATATAGAAGAAATAAAACATAATTTACAGATAATTATCTTAACAGGACAAGGACGACTTCCCTGAATGGAAGTTGATAACGATTTAAATTAAAGTTTAGCTTTTTTATGACCAAAAGAAACGAGAGGCAACAAAGTGCTGCACTTTCCTTCCATATTCACTTGGTATCGATGATAACCTTATGCTTACACTAAATACTATTATTACACCTTTAGAAATTTGTTCCTGTACAAATCTACACGAAAAAAAGTCTCACATTTCTAATGTTTTACTGAGCGGGCATAAAAAAATCGATGTTTGACCGCTGAGTGAGATGTTGGACCGGTCGATGAGATGTTGGACCGCTTACGTCACAGTACGAAATGCATGTATGTTAAAAAAAAATTAAAATGAAAGGTATAACATTTATTGACTATGTTCTCGGGCAAAATGCTTCTTGTCGACCCTCGAACCAAACTGTCTGCCCTCGGCCTAACGGCCTCAGGCAAACAGTTTGGTTCTTGGGTCCGACAAAACGCATGTTGCTCTCGAACTCAATCAATAAATGTATAGTATTTACAGTAGATGGACAGTCTCGTAAACTCAACAAAACAAAACTTGATACCAAAATCGGTTTATAGCTTTATAGGACTAAAGTATATGCCAGTATACCAATTCCAACTCTTGAAATAAGGGGGTAGGCGATATTTTCCATTGAAATCGGACCTTCAAGCATCACCATATTTTGAAATAGTCTTGGATATGAATAAATGTTCCTTATATCTTTTATTTATTAATTAATTATTTTTTTGATTTGTTTTACGCAAATAAATTAAACATAAATATGTTAATAAAAACAATATTTTAGTTGTAAATCGCCTTGAAATTGGTGGAAAAAACGAGCACTTTTTTCTTTTCTTTTCTTTTTTTTTTTTTTTTTGTCTATAAAGGAATCACTGTGAATTTTTGTTTCACTGGGGGATGTTTTAATATTTTTCTTTGATGACAATAGTGACAAACACAATTTTTACCAAAATTATAGAGTTATCTTTTTTGTTTCCCCAAATAAGTAGTGTTTATTGAAAATCCGTATAATCGTCTATAAAAATATTTATTATAAAAATATTTTAAAAAATCATTCGAATATGTTAACTTTTGAAAATTGAATTGGAGGTAGGCGGGAGAACAATACTATCGTTCGCCGTTCTTTGTATGTTCTGTATTTATATATTTTCCCGGTGTCTTCACACTCAAAAGGCTGACCGCTTTGTTTAGCGTGTGTGTGATCTTCTGTCTCGTTTTACTTAGAACGATTGGTTTATATTTATTTTTATCCCTTGACTCAAAATAGAATCTAACTTGCCAGAAGTTCATTAAAACCAACTAGAATATCAGTTATTCGTGTCATATTTGATTGAATTATGGATACTGCTTATGGTTTCAAAATTGACGCGTTTCCTTGTAAATGTGGTAAGAATAAATGCAATGGAAACTCCCTCTGAAAGTTTACGTTAAAAGTCAAAAGGTTCGTAATTTTGCATATTGTTGACACTATGATTTGTGTTAAATTATGCTTTAGGTGCAATAAAACGACATTACTAATGATTGATCAAAATTTTTAAATGTGTGCAAAGCGATGCCATGCAACAGATGATGTATATCATTAAATGAAGATTTCATGAATATTTTATTGGCAAGGGACCTTGAAAGCCCACACTTCAATCCCTGCATAACATTTCTCAATCGAAATTCACACAAGATTAAGGAATATCTTTAAAGTTTAAAAAAACATTTCTTTCAACGTTAAAATGCAATTTTAATATAGTTTATACCAAATATTGTGTCTTAAAATGACCTTTCTGAGATCGAAAATGTACAAACATATCTGACATTTTGATCCACACTTGGCATGGCAGGTGAAAATGACCTTGTCACTGTGTTTCAACAATGACGAAGCACGATGTACTTTGAAATCATCCCCTCACTTTTTATGAAGAGCAAAATTTCATCGGCTCAAATTGCCAATAAGGAAGATTTTTGCAAGACCTATCTCAATGGTATCATCGTCTTTTCGACCTAATCACCTATTGAGAATGAAAAGATGCTATCACCTTATGCTAGAATAGATTTACCACCTATCCAAATTCGTATAAGCAAATTATGCACTTATTTGAATAGATGATATCACCTATTCAAATAGGTGATATCAACAATTCAAACGCTAAAAAGGTAAAATGTCAACAAGGAATAGGTGATATCTTCTATTTGAGTGGGTGGTATCATTTAATGCCTGAAGATAACAAAGCAGACCCTCATAGCTATTTAAAAATTTTACAGCAAGGACGACATGATTAACAAGATGTGTTTGTGAAACACTGATGTCCTCATATGGCAGCTTATGGCGAAGGTTTATGTTTATCAAATGTAAGTCAAACTCCAAGATATCAAGTTCAAAAGGTCAAAATTGTTGGTATCAAGAGAAAGGTCTTTTCTCAAGGAATACACTTGTGAAATATAAAAGACCTAGTACCCGCTGTTCAAAGGTTTTGCTAAAGTTAAAGTTTTTTACGAAGTGGGCCAAACTCTATAAGTTAAGGTCAAAAGGTCAAAATTGTTAATATCAAGAGAAAGGTCTTGTCACAAGGAATATACCTGGTACCTGTGAAATTTGAAAGCCTAAGTCCCATGAAGCCCTAACACAGTAAAAGTTTGGGCAAGGTTAAAGTTTTGTGGATAAACAGATAAGCAGACAGATAGACAGACGGACGGACAGGACAAAAACTGAACTATATACCCTCAAATTTTCGATTACAGGGGCATAAAAAAACTACACAGATTTTATGTACATGTATTTTGAGAGAATTTTCACTCGAATTAGACGTCATCAAATACTGATGAAGGATTTTGACGAAGGGCCTTTACGCGGCTCTAAAGGGTAATTGAACGATATTAGTTCTTCATATTGGGCTTCCTTTTATCATCCAAAACCTTTAAAAAAAAGAGTGCTTAGCGAAGGAAAAGTTGCTCCCTATATGTAACGAAAAACGAACGGTGTTAAAGTGTTATCTTTCTTGGATCGAATCGAAGAACTTTCGAACACGTAGCGAGTGCTCTATCAACTTTCTTGTCACAATGCTGATTGATATCGACTCATAAATAAAACAAGAAAATTTATACATACTGAGTATTTAATTTGTATTTCAACCATATATTAGTATCTATGCATTGTGCATTCCGAGTTCTTATTGAAATTTGAAATGAAGCCCAATACCTTTCACCACACTTAAGATCATGTCTGCCATTTGCCGAGTAAGTCGAGCATCTGGTCCCTGGTCAAACCATTTCTTCATCTGCGTCCCGGTACGCAGTAGCTTTGGTACCGAGTCATGAGAATGCCCAAGTTTTATATAGTACTTTCCTGAAAAAAGCCAAAAGCTATGGATATCTTGTTGAAAAGGAATTTTGCATTCTCTAGGTCTTGATATCCAAGTTTTAGTCTGTTGTATGGTATTACCAAAGCCTTTATTCCACAACGGGCATTTTT